GCCTCCCAGTCTCTGTGGGAAGGACAAAATCCGAACTTGCCAGCTAGCAGACACAGCTGGGCTAATCACGGAGACACTGAGCAACCCTTTGTAATTTCGCACTTCCCTAATGCTACTTGGGCCTCCGCTCACGCCTCCCGCCTCCTCCCTCATTCTCTTTAAAGCTCCCTATGCAAACCAAAATGGAGTTAGGCTCTTTCCCCTATCAGTGGTTACTGAGTAAAATCTGTTTTCACCAGCTTTAATGTCCGGCTTTATCTTTGACAATAGGTAGTCCCAGGTGGCATTCGTGGCTTTGTTAATTAACATAACGGACATTAGAAATGGGCTTTCACTGGGGAAAATCTCACTGATCAAGTAATATTATCCAGCTGGAAATACCTTGACCTGGGCATTATGCCCTTACATGAACTGGCTTCAAGGACACAGTGAGTCTTCACCCTGAGAATGACACCATAGACTTGATCCATCCATGTGGTCCTGCAGTTTTGGCAGTCTCAGTCAAGTTCTGCCTTCTAGAATGTTCTCACATCTGCCTCAGGTGAACATGCAAGTTGCATGCAGCGCACCAAGAAGGACAAAGAGATGGAAATTCATGAAGCCTCCGGTCAGGCTGCATGACTGTCCTGTGCCTGCCTGTCAATCAAGTTGGCATATGTGGCAGAATTTGGTCTGAGACTTGCTTTCTTTACAACCTGGATAAAGGTATGAGGAAGCAGCAAAACCTCGCCCATCCATAACTGGCAACCACCAACCACCAATACCTACCAAAATAAGCTAATAGCTAAAACTGACTTAGATCCGCTATAAGCAACAATAACGAGCAAGTGTTACTCATTATCATTTATTTATATTGAAATAAAAATAATCAGGAATAGCACTCTAGCTACTAGATGCTCCAACTTGAGTCAGGCGGGCCAGTGTTCAAGGCCTGGCTCCAGCATCATGTAACATCAGCCAAGTTAATTTATTTCTCTGTATTTCAGTTGTGTCACCTGCAAAAGGAGGACAATTAGAACTTTACCCACCCCATAGGGTTTTTGTGAAGAATGAATAATGCAATATGGGTAAAAAGAGATAGTACGCTGCCGGCATGAAATAAACTTCGGCTATTGTTCTTATTATCATTACTGCTTACACTTGCCTGGAGTAAACCCTGTCAAGCCTTATTTTCAAATAGCCTTGGAAGGACTGTCTAGATTTTTCAACTATACCTCTCATTTCCCCTCTGACAGTATACACTGTCATTTTCTGTAGCTAGCTTCCCCCATACCTCCATCCCCCCATTACCCCACAAGTTCTAGGAAAGCAAGGAAGGTCTTCGTTCATCATCCAGTCCCCAGAGGCCTATGGTGGTGCTGGGTACCCAGAAGGTGGCGAGTGACCACTCTCCTCTAATCTCTGCTTGCCATTACCATCCATTAACCAATGGCCTAATCAAAACCCAAGTGTATATCAGAGTCAATGCAAAAATAAAAAAGGCTGAGCTGGAGGCTGTCCAGGTGTGTGGGGAGTAATGACCACTAACAAACTAAGATTTGAGGAGTTCCTAACTCTGTGCCAAACCCTGTACTAGAGACTTTGTCTATTATTATGTGTAATCCTCATAATAACCCAGGAAGAATCATCACACTCATTCTACAGTTGAGGAAAACTGAGGTTAACAGAGGGCAAGTATGTGCAGGCATACCAGCCTTCACTGTTCATATTTCTCAATTCAAACCCAGACCTGAGTCCAAAGCCCAGGCTCTTTTCTGGGTTACACATTGTTCCTGATGGTCCTCAAAGTCCCTCAAACTTCTATCTCCAACCTCAAACTTCTCTTGACTTACATAACCAACTGGTGACTTGCCACCTCCATTTAATTTTTAATGGGCATCTCAAATGTTACAAAGCCAAAAGAAAAGCTATGGGTTCTCCTTGCCAAATGTCTTCTTCCCCACCAGCCACCTAACTCACCTAAGTAAATGGCACTATCATCTATCCAGTTGCTCAGGCCAAAACCCAAATCTCTCTCATCCCCATATCCCACATCTAATCTATACGAAAGGCCAGCTCTAGCTCTGAAATATACTCAGAAGTCAACGGCACCCCACTGTACTCACTCCTCCTCCTCAGACTACAGCAGCAGCAGATTGCCAGGAGTCAAGCTCCACCAGGAAGGATTTTTATTCACTGCCAAAGCCTAGAACACAGCCTACACATAGAAGGAGGCAGTTAAAAAACATTCACTGTATGAACACTTGACGGCTCTCCCTATCTCCACTCTAGTCCCTGATCTAGTCCAGGCTTCACAGCACCCAGCATGATCTAAATGTAAATAAACCACAGCTCTCCCCTGCTCAAAATCCTCCAACAGTCTCTCACTGCAACCAGGATAAAGCCAAACTCCAATGACGGCCAACAGTGTCCGGCCATAAATGGCCCTATCCACCTCTCTGATCTCACCTATGACACTCCAGCCACCCTGGACTCGTTTTTGTTTCTCAAACCCCCTGGAAGGCTCCTTATCCAGGTCCTGACATGGGTACCTCTTCTCGCTGATCAGTCTTCAGTTCTAGGTGCAACTCCGACAAGATTCCGTAGCAACCCTACCCAAGGTCTTACTTTACATTCTTGACTTTAAGCAAAATAATGTACTATAACAAAAACAATTTTACCACAGGCTACTTGATATAAACAGGAGTTAAGTTCCTACAGCATCTCACCAATGTTATAATGAAATGACATGCAACAAAACCTTAGTTATTTGAGCATCTGTTGTATTTACTATTTCACTGTTTACATGCTTATGGAATGCCCCCCCCACCCCCAATAACAACAACTGGAATGACCACTGAGGGCAGAGATGATGTTTGTCTGGCTCACTGCCATAACTCCAGCTCCTGGCACATCGCTGGTACTGTGATATAAGAAGAAATATATATTTGGTCTTCATCCCTATATGGGAAGCCCAAGACTTGTGAATGGCATCCAAAATGGGAGTGGGGGCAGGGGTCCAGTCTTGTGGGACTAAACCCTTAATCTGTGGGATACTAACTCCTAATTCTAGGTAGTTAGAGTCAGAATTGGATTGAGTTGTTGGATACCCAGTTGGTGTCCAGCGAGTTGGATAATTGGTTGGGGGAACCCATACATTTGACGTCAGCAGTGCTGTAAATCAAAACAGTTCATAGGTGCTCAAAAAAGATTTAGCTTCTGCTGGCTCTGAGGATTTTTTTAATGTAAGTTTCTTATCAGCCCTTCCATATGAAGTCATAGTGTCATCGCCCCCTCACTGCATTGAGACCCACCACAGTGATTCCTCGAGCAGTCCCGAGAAAGCAGAAGTTAGCTTTCCTGTGATGAATGGCCAGGATTTGGTTCTTTCCCAAGTCCTGAGAGGGAGATTTTAGAAACAAGCCATTAAATCTTGCCAAAATATCAGCCTTACCAATAATTCTTTTAAAAGACCCACTTGAGTACTGGTAATAATTTTCAGAGCCCTAAATTTGCTACTTGGAGTGACAGGAAGCCTCATGGGGCTTTCAAGGGACTAGAGGAGATGTCCCAAAATATCTGTAATGCCTACATAATGAACACTGTTGCACCAAATTGGAAAGTATCTAAAAACAACAATACAAGATTGGCAAAGCTTTCTTGAGATTCAGAACAATAAGAATGTTCACTGTGGTCTTGGTAGCCCTGGAAAGGTGGGATGCATTCTCATATTCTCTCCCTCTCTCTCTCTTCTCTCTCTCCTCTCTCCCCTCTCCCCCCCCCCCTCTCTTTCCTTGCATGACTCAGGGCAAGTCATTACACTTAAGTTAAAATCCTAAATTTTCTTATCTCTGAAAAGGCCAGCTTGAATGCATGCCACCAAGTACCAAAAACCAAGTGGGAACTCCACAGGGCCACTCCAAAGAGGGTGGATTATCTGCAGATTGCCTGCCAGTACAATAGGCGGGGTTACAAAAACCGACAGCTTAATCCCTCTTCATTTAGGAGCTGGCCTCAGGGGTCGCATGTATTAGGAAGCACGAACATCCCTGGCCCTGAATGCGCGTGCAGTTAGATTCAGGTGTGAAAACATAAGATGATGATAATCAGTATGCATTAGGGGAAGGGAGGTCGATGTCCGGAAGGCTTTCTTCGTTTTTTTCTAATTCTGCAGGAAGGAGTGAAATTAGCATTAAAGGGTTAAAACTAATTCTGCCCTGATGCACTCCTCACCGGTATAGTAGATGCCTATCCCACACGGACATACGTGTTTTAAGATACCACGAGTTAAAAAAAAATACCACGAGTTTAACAGGTGAGGGTTACAAAACAGGTTCGGGCAAATTTAGTGAAAATCGGGGACAAGAAGGCTCGCGCTCTAGCCAGGCAGACCGTGTTTGTGTTCAGCCAGGGTTGGGTCGGGAAACGCAGGAAGTAGGGTTGAGTCTTCCCTGCGCCCAGACCTGGGTTAGGAAACCAGGCTTCGAGACGTTCCCGAAGGTACAGAGACAGTGCTCAAGCCCTGTCAAGATGCCAAGCGCGACCTGCTTGGGCCATCTGACCCGAGTTTCGTTCAGGGCATGGCATGGGAAACGAGCCGATGCCCAAACCCACGTCTTTTCCTGGGTTCACTCGGTAAGCAGGGCCCGGTGGGCTCCGGAGCTCAGCACCACACGCTTGTGCCCTAAGGCGAGGTGACACTCTCGGGGAGCAACCGGAATCCTCCGTCCCCATCCTAAGCGAAGTCCTTAGGGGCCGACCCACGGACCTCGGGGTAGCCTTTCGGGCTTCCCCGTTTCCCTTCCCGCCCGCCCGCGGTACAGGGTTTCCCCGACAGCCGAGAGCCACGCTCGGGCCCGAGACACGAACCCAGGAGGCGCGGGATCAGCCCGGAGAGATCCACCGCCCGCCCCACTTCCAGCCACGGAGCTGGGGTGCACACCCAGGAAAGCCTGAGCGGTGTCTGGGCTCCTGGCCTCGTCCGATCCGTCGCCCCCCTGGCGGAGCCCAGCCCCGCTCACCTGGCCCGCACAGCACTGCGCTGACATCGCGGCGGCCGGGGACCACGGGCGCGCTGGCTGGCTCCCAGCTCCCCTCCGACCTTCCCGTCTCCCTCCGGTCTCGAGCGTCCCTCTCCGCACCAGCTCACGCCTCCACGCCGAGGAGCCACAGCTGAGCTCCAGCAACCGCGACCTGGGTGAAAACAACTGCCGCCAAGTCCCGCCCCGCCGCCTCAGGCCCCGCCTGGCCCGCCCCCTCGAGCCGCGGCCTCCCGCAGCCCCGCCCCGCGCCCGCCCCTTCCCGGGTGCGCTGTCGCAGAGCAGGCTCTCCCCCGGCTAGCACTTCCGCTGGCGTCAGGCGGCTGGCAGGGACGATCACTTCCCGGTGCTTCTCGGGGCTCCGAAGTCCTCCCACCGACAGGCTGGCCCCGCGATCCTGAGCTCCTGCGCAAGGCTATCTGTGCGCCCTTCTGTCCTCTGGGCTCTGGCGAAAATGCTGGTTGCCGACTTCAGTCCAACTTGGAGTCTTTAGTAGAGGAATTCCCGAGTGTCCTGCACTGAACCGGCGCAGTGGGGACCGCCCGGGGCTGCTCTGCTATCTGTCCAACGCCAAGTGGATACCCAGGGGATCCCTGAAATCCCTTTAACTCCCTCATCTGCCAAGGAAACTTGTCTACTTTGGAGAAAGTCCCCTCTGCCCAAGCTTCCTCGGATCCGTGGGCACGAGGCTGTTCTGCTCTGATTCCCACGGTACTTTAAGGGACCCTGTGAGAGCCCTTTCCGCTCTTACCTCGATATTGATCTATTGTTTTACAGGTGCTTCTAAGTCTCCTGAGAGCGCATCCCGGTCCAGGGACTCAGTTTGCATCTCTCCTTTCTCTTACCCGATTTCACCAAGAAGAAGGTCCCCAATAATTGTTTGTTGCACTCAGAAGGCAAAGAGCGTGCCCCTCGTTTTTCTCCCTGTCCAGTTATGCTCTTCTCATAGTCACTTCCCCAAGAACAGGAATTTGTTTATGCGAACTTTGCTTCAAGCCCTTTCACTCTTTAAAATCAACATTACTGTGCGTACCCACTTCAGAAAGGAGGCAACTGAATCCCCGATAGGTTAAATAGCTTGCCCACAGCTTCACAGCAAAGCTGAAGGAACAAGATTGGGACTGGAATCCGCGTGTTTGATCCCCTCGCACAAAACACAAGGCTTGAACTTGAGTGGCTTCTATACAGCCTTTGACATGAGGGTGCCTGCTTAGGCAGTTCAGGAGATGGAGACTAAGGAAAGTCGCCAAGGAACATTCCTCTGGGTAGGAACTGCAAAGGATCTAGAATCTTCAGATGCCGGCAATTAGAGATAGAGAAATAAAGGAGCAGGCCCTGCTCAGAGCCATGGAGAGGAATGAGGAGAGTTAGCTATAATTTTTTAAAATAATAATAATAATAATAATAATAATATTAAAAGTTTAAAAAAAAAGCACAAACAGTATCAGACTAGCACAGCAACCTGCTCCGTGGTGGCCTGTGACTTATCAGAAGCCAGAAATCCCACCAAGACTTGAGTGAGCAGTCATTGTTGGCTAGATATGTCACTTTGGCCCCATTTCTCCCGTGGGGGGACTAGTTGGGTGCCTAGAGTTTCTGCTCCTGACTGGAAGAGCTAGGCAGCTTCCTGAGAAGGGAAGGTATTAAATCTACATGTTTGAGCCAGCTGGGATTCTGAGGCCTGCTAGCCTTTAAGGGAAAGTGGGGTTCAGGAAGGCAGACAACCCTCACCAGAGATCACTGCTCTTTTGATTCCAGTGTAGGAGGGCTCTGTAACTATATCAATGTCAGCCTCACACAGAAAGAGAACACAAGTCTTAATAACCCAGGGATTTGTAGACTGTACCCCAATGTACCAGAAGAACAGAGTGGAAGCCTGAGCAGCTGGAGCCAAGAATTCGCAAAATTTAATTCTGCCAAAAATTGACTGGGCTACTTCTGAGCCTCAGTTTTATCCTCTGCAAAGGGGAGCTGATAATACATTCTACAAGGATTAGATAAACTCACCCTTACAAACTGTGCAGTACAAGGCCTTGCCTTCTTAAGAACGACTACATTAAGAGTCCTGACTGGTACTAATAAGCAAATTTAAAAGATGTTAAGAAATAATCCATGCAGGCTGATTTCCCCCTCCCTGCTGGAAGATCTCAAAGGAATGTGGCCTTGTCTGGAAGTTGACTGCCTTCCTAGCTGCGAGGGCTGTTTGCAGTTACTATTTAAGCTCTGGTTGGTAGCATCCTTTGCATCTGTGGTAGGTTAACAAGAATAGAGGTAATGTCAGCAGACAGAATATAAAACAGTGGCACTTTAATTTTATTTTAAGTACTCTGCAAACTTTTTCAAGGAAGACTTGTACACGGTGTTCCTCACATGTAGGTAGTTTTACATTCCATTTCTTTTGATGTGGATTTCTCAGGAACAAGCAGCAATAGAACTGTTTTAATAAGACTGTAGCTCTTGGCAGACCATGTGAAATATTTCTCCCACAAAAATTTTCTTAAATTTACTGAATTACCTCCTTTTATACAATATAATTATATATGTATATATGACATATTATAAATAACCATCTTATAATTTGCTATTTTCCCTCCTGCATTTGAAGATTTTTTTGGTTTTTCCTTTTTAGGAAGGGAAGTTTAATGTTGAGTTTAAAAACACCACACCCTGTACTGAAAATAGCAGTATACATATATTATTAAAGAAAAAAGCGTCGGGCCAGCCGAGTGGTGCGATGGTTAAGAACTGGCTTGGGACGCCAGAGGGCCCCGGTTCAGATCCCACATATGAGGGCCAGTGACACTGCCCTCTACAGCTAAGATGCTGAACAACAGCTCAACCTGGAGCTGGCCTGCTGTGAGTTGCCAGCGTCTGGGTAGGCTGCAGCCCCTGTGGCAGTGGGTTGCCATGGGCTACCGTGTGTAGCCAGCAGCCAGCGTGAGCGGCCAGCAGCCTCAGTGAGCGGCCGTCCAGAAGCCCAGCGACTGATCTGCCTCACCCGGGAAGAGCGCAATGATGGTGCCAACTTGGGCCGGTGAAGTGACGTCCTCCACAACTAGACTGAAGAACAAAATGACAGCAACTTGTCTGTTCCCCTTTCTCCAATTCCCCAGCACTGTTTCCATCCCCCCAATTCCCTAATAAAAATCTTTAAAAAAAAAAGAACAAAGCGTCATCATGGATACCCACTTTTTTTTTACATTTAATGAATTTAGAAACTTTATTACAAATTTAATTTCCAGTTCAAGAATGTCTTAAAAAGCAAATAAAATTAATTATTCGAATTCCCTAAAACTTTCTTAACTTTGAAAAAGTCTAATGATGTGTTCTATTGGTTTTTAAATATAAAAGAAGAAATTTCTCTAATATTCACTTATTATTATACAGTCTCCAGAATCTCAATCTAGCAGTAGAAGTTTAACTAATTTCAATTACAAGTAAATAACAAAGTATTCATTTAGAAAACAAATAGCTATAAATTTGGGGCCCCAAGCAAAAAATAATCAGCGCCCTATAGTGCTTCCACCCCACTCTTGGTAACTGAATTCTCCTTTATTCCTATTAAATTAATATATGCACAATGTCTTTTAAATATTAAAAAAAACATACAAAAAATAAAACGAAAGCTAGCATTTCCCTTCTCCATAACCTACCTTGAGGTCCCTTTCCCAGAGGCAACTATTGATATAGGATCCTGGTGTCTGGTGCCAGGAGATCTTTGTCTCACATACCCGAAGAAGGAGAACACGGACTCCGAAGGAGAGGTAGAGGAGCAAAGATTTTGACCGAAGCGAAAGTACAGCTCTCTTATGAGAGGGGGTACCAGAAACTAGGATGCTCACAGGCCAAGGCAAATGACTCTTAACTTTTATACATTCTCTTGTGTGCTTGGGGAAGGGAGTTGGTGCCTTCTAGATGGATTTTATCTATCAGATTCGCCCTGTTGGCCAGTCTAAAGGGATTGATGAAATAACACTTTTACCCCCAAAGTGCAATTACATTTTTGCCCTGGAGCAATGAGTCATTTCAAAACCTGGATTTCCAAGATATGGCTGCCTTTGTTTTTTTTCTACCAGGGACTTCCCTGTCTACCTAACAACGTGCTAGCTAACCTGTCTCACCATTATCAATTATTTTAACAATTTTCCCTCCATGTTTTCAAATAATATCCTTACACTATTGTTTCCTGATCTGTTGACTGTATTTATTGTGTATTATCCTTTATGTTCCACGTAGACTGAAAGCTTAACCCACTGACCACTTCCATCTACCATCTTGCCAATCTAATTATATCAGTTTTCATAAAATTAAGTCAATGTTTATGTAATTATGCTTAGGAAAATTTATTCATTGCATAGCCACCTAGTGTATAATGATAGCATTCCTTTCTTAACAACTTTTTATTTTTCAATCCCATCTCCCTTTCCTGGAGAGAAGGTATATTCTAGTGGTTAGGAGTCGGGACTCCGGAGCCAGGCCCAGGGATCAGGTCCTTGCTTCGCCACTTATTAGATCTGTGATTTTGAGATGTGACTTCATCTCTTTGCACTTCAGTTTTCTCCTCTATAAAATGAAGAGGGTTAATAAATGCCAGAGGTATTCATCTTTTGTTATCAGTATATATTATTACTTTTTTTTTTATATAAACTGAGCCATCCTGCCACCTGTTGGCAGCTCAGCCGCAGGTCAGCTCAGGCCGGGAATCGAACCGGCGACCCTATTGTTTAGAGCTCGCACTCTTGAGCGAGCTCTTAACCAACTGAGCGACTCGGCCGGCCCTATTACAATTCTAATACAGTTTTTTCCTTTCTTAAAATGTGTATACATTTGTTTTGGCTCTTCTATATATATACACATATACCCAAAATGTGTACGCATGAAAGCACTTACAACAGTACCAAGTATTTGGTGGTATTTTATTTGCATGGTTTTCTGTGTACCTAATCTTGATTTTTCTCCATTTGCCCATCTGACCTGCCATAATTCTTTCTTCCTAGATAATCAACCTTTTCAGATAATCTATCAATTCCATTTTTCCAAGAGCCCTCTCTATCTCCCCGAGCTTTCCAAACTGCTTCAACCTGGATCCTTCCAGGCTACTGCACCCCTGCCATCTTGGCACACCCGCTTTCAAGCCTTCTTTTGCCTTCTGTTGGATATTTATTGTAGATTTCTGG